AGCTTGATTTGTTTTCATGTTTTATAGTTGGAGAAAACTCAGACTTGTCTGACTCTGACCCAGAGATTGTTATTAAAAGGCCCTCTGAGTTTGATCTTGCTGATACACTGGTAAGTACAATTTAAATTTTTTTATAGAGTTTTCTTGTTGTTTAGCCACCACCATTTGCCTCAGTTCAGTAAAACAGTTAATAGTTATATGTAAAATACATTTTGTGTGTGGGTGTGTGCGTGCTCGCGTGCGTGTGTTTGTTTGTTTGTTTCAGCCATGGGAACTTCAACATGAAAGCAGTCCTTTACAGAAAGCGGCAGAATATGAGTAAGTGATATTTTAAGAACATGTAATCTTTTACTGTTTTTTGCTTACACTTTGTATTAATGAGATATACACTTTTGTCATTCATTCTGTATATGGTTTTTGGAACATGGACTACATAATACATAATATTGCTTGTTTGTTAATCAAGATGCTTAAATATTTTCAATGTCAATTAATATTTTCACAGTACACAACAATAATGCTTTTCTTTGTTCTCTAAGGAAGGGTGCTGGGGATCTTGTGCTTGCTAATGAAGTACAACAGGTAAAAAACTATTTTATCAGTAAAACAGTGCAGCAGACAATCTCCACCGCCTTTACTTTGCAATTAGATAACGACTCACTGTTTGCTTATTACATTCATTGTTATTATACAATGCATTTCACATCCTCAGTTTTCATACTATCAATAGATTATAACATCCACCCCTTAAAGGTACAATAAGTCATACCGGTACATGAAATAATCACAAAGCAGTCTAATATCTCAATCATGTTGGAAGGAAGGTTACATTGAAACTAACTGTGTATGACTCGTCTTTGTCATCTAGAATCTTCTGGCGCTGATCCGTAGCCATGAAACTCATGGAACGGGAGGAGAGAGAGTCACTCGTTTGTTTATAAAGATAGACTGCAGTACACAAATTTGACCACAGGATGTTCCTCCTATTTCATTCTTACTTATTATACCTTTAGATAATCTATTGGGATAGGGAACCTAAGGTACATCCATCTACTTCCGGACCATGGGTCCCCTACTGCTAAAAAAATAGGAGTCTATGAGCCAATAAAAATTATTTTCTGATCCCATTTGATGTGTGCCATGGAATTAAAATATGATGTCCGTGAAGTATATAAACCCATTTTGATGCCAAAAAGTGCTTAAGCGACAGGTGGCAAAGGTTATTTTAGGTTTTGTTTGAAAAGACGTGGCGAAATGTAAATGTTCCTCTCACAAAATTGACATCATCGAACCAGACACAGAGAAGAGGAAAAGCTTAGTTTTGTTTAGCGAGCTTCGAATCCTTCTTCCAGGATGATATATACACACAATTATTATAAATGTATGTAGTTTGACTCTTTTACATTAGATTCTTCAGAAAAAAAATAGTAGAACCGTTCTATATAACTGGAACTGCATGTTTATGCATTTGTCTTTTTGCATCTACACTTTGTGTACATGTTTTCACTCTGCAGAAACTACACACAGCTGTTTGAACCGATTGTGATTGTGATTGATGATGAAGATCCTACTCCTAACGAAGCCAAAGCTGAGCCCCCAGAAGAACCTGTGTCAGTAATTTAAACATTTGAATCCAATTAACTGCCATCTTGTTCTGTACAAGACATCATGCAATCATAAGAGAAGTATATACACATTTAAAAAATAAGTTTCCCTTTTTTTTAGAGACACCAATTTGCAGGCACATGAAATTATTGCAAATTTGGCACTGGAACTTGACCACAAGAAGGTCAGCAGGTTCAATATATCAAGGTCAGCTGTATGGGATGGAGCTGTTAGAGGATTTCGACGCAGCACAT